TAAAAGTTTCGGGCGTATATTGGGAAAAGTTAAAACTTTACGGGTGTTATTTGAGACACCCCAAAAGTCACGGGGTTTAGTGGGAAAAGTTTTGGGGTCTAGTTGAATAAACGAAGTTTAGTAAATTTTTGTGGGAAATACCCCAAAGTTTTGGGGGGTTTTGTGAAACTTACCAAACTCAACCAAAGCATATGCTAATAGAAGCCGGGCATCAAATCTATAATACAACATCTTGAATCTTGATGCAGATCTTTGCTAAACCGGATAGATGGCTCAGCTTTTGCTCTTGGGGAACATAATAATGTAGAGCTAGAGCATAGTAATTAAATATTACTTAATCAAATTTAAAATTTAGCTAAAGTTTTTATTAAGTTTGCTCATTATCTCAGAAACAATTTCTAAATGAAAACTATAATCAGAAGTAATAAAATAAAAGCTGCGCAGTAATAAACAAAGAGAAAAACTAATTCCCCTTCCATATATGCATCTCCCTAGTTGCATGAATCAAGAATTAGTTAATTTCACGAAGTAGAAGTTAAGGCGATTACCTCCCATATATATGCATTTCCTGAAGGAGCTCCACCAACAAGATATACACCATCCCTAGTACTAGCAATGGGTCCAATTGCCTCCATTGGATAGCTTACTCGTGCGGCTTGAATCTTAAAACAGAGAAAGAAATCGACAACGTTAGCAGTAAAACCAAAAATTCAGGAATGTTATTAGCTCTTTAGATTTTGCATACCTTGTTGAGGTGCCAGAAGAAGATGGATCCACATCCAAAGGGCCTGTCCTTCTGGAGCTGAGACGCAACAAGGACACGATTCTGAAGGCAGAGGAGGCCATGGGGTTGCGAACCACTCGTCAAAATCCGAAGAAGAACATCACCAGTCTCTAGATCCCACACTGTTATCCCTGCCTTCCTCTGCTCTCCACAGACAACCAGAGCCTCCTTTCCCATCACCTCGCTGTAGAGGAAAATGAGTAGTTTTGGAGAAAGAAGAGAAGGATGTCAATTTCGTTATGTCCAAGAATGCTACGGTGCTAATGAAGACTAGCAAGAGTTACAAAAGGAAGGTTGTAACAGAAAGCCTGCTCCTCTGACAACTGGCTTCCATGTAAGAGTAAAGACAAAAAATATATTAATTAACCTCAAATTGAGAACAACTCAAAAGAAAGTATATAGAGGAAAAAGAATAAAGAAGAAGAAGAAATATTCACTTACACCGGGGCTCAAGAACCCACGTCCAAACGCTAATGAGTGAGCTAGATGAGCACCACCTTCTCTAAGAATGAAATTACAGTAACAAAGAGTAACATGAAGCACAATGATTTTTTTTTAATCGCATTGGAGGAGCAAGCATAATCTGGTAGCTACAGACTTTAAAGGACTCTGCACATCTCTTGATTTATTTTTCTTTTAAAATTTAATTACGGGTAGACAGACTCGAAGAAAAATAAACGAATAGATATATAATAACATTTAAAGACTTGGAAAGGGGGGAAAAAAGGAAATTACACATGAGATGAGCATTAACCATTATTAACCCAATCTGTCCCTAACCCGCATATTGACTGAGGAATTTTTGCTGCTCTTGAATAATGAACTTATCGTCTTCCCCAACTTCTTCGTTCTTAATCTATAATAATATGGCTTTGATTCTGGGGGGACCACCTCGATACTTTCTTCCATCGGCGGCTCTTGCTTTGTTGGCACCCGAGGTTTCTCTCTCAGGCGCTGCTCTCTGAACAATTTCAGCAAATTCATAGCTTTCTCCTTCCCTCTTGCTGTTCCGTTCACTGTTAACGATACCAATGCTGGTATAACACCTTCTTGAAGCACCATGTGGCTGCAGTTGTCATCACTGATGCATAGAACAAATAGGCACTCTACCGCCAGCTCTTGCTCAGGTGGTTCGCCGTTGTCCAAGGCCATTGCCAGTGAGCTAATGAACCCTGGGGTTGCTATCATCTTTCTCTCTGCATCAGGGTTCGAGACTAAGTTAGTGAAGACAGCGAGAACTTTCTCTGGCCACGTGCAGCCAGCGAGTAGGGAGGTGAAGCAGCCTATGATGTCAGCATGAAGGAGAAAGGGGATGTTTGGTGGGTAGGTGGAGAGGTTGAAGAGAGCATAGAGAGCATCGTGCTTGCAGGAGACAGACTGGGGGCTCTTGGGGTGAAGGAGACGGATAAGGAAGGGCACAGCGTCACTTGATCCAATAATGGGCTTGGCATCATCAAAGCAGGAAAAGTTTAGGTAGAGTGCAGCAGCAAATTCACACGTCATGGAGTTTGAGATCATTTTCTCCAGTAGTGAAATTACTCCGGCTGATAATAGCAGTGCTTTGTTCCTGACATTATGGGAAAGAAGGGTGAACGTTAGAGTAAGATTTCTACAAACAAGATTATCTTCTTCAATTTAAAATAGAATTCGGGAGGAAAAAAGAATCAGAAATATAGCAGCCTTGATTACAAACAAATGAAGCAGTTGACAAACCAATCATTGTAAGCAAGTCTATAAGCCACCGGCAATAAATGAGAGTATGTCCTCAATATAGAGATGCAGTCTAATCAGGAATGTATCAGCTTGGGCTTTCAAGTCTGAACACTGACCATCTAAACACGAAAATCTATACTTAAGGCACATTTTTTTTTTAAACGCTTAAGATCGAAGGTCAGGAAATAAATCTGATGGTCACGAAACAAATAGTTTTCAAGTAATCTTCATAAAGCATGCATTTCCTGGAGTTTATTTATTTGAATCCGACTACAACTGTGTCCTAAAAGCTAATGGGAAATCTCTTGATGATATCAATAACATTTGGTGTGGTTTGGCCCACATTTTCATTCGAGTCTAGAAAAAAGTTGATTTCGATGGCACTGATACCTGTTATTGTTGACAGCAAGGTTAAAGAGAGCCATAGCTCCAACCTCCTGAGCTCTTACATCCTCTTCTTCAATAGCTGATCTCAAGAAGTGAATCAGCGCATCAACAAACCCATTGGCACCCATATAGATCCTTGCCTCCTCATCATCCTTCAGAATAAACCTGATCTTCTCTACTGCTCTGTGTTGCTTCCCCCAACTCCGACAATCACAAAGAGCAGCCAGCAAGCTTTCATAGCTTTCGTACTCATCATCTTCAGCACTATGCCAAGATTCATCAACGGTAGTGGCCATCTCATCCTCTTCTTCCTCTCGAGTTCCATTTTCCTCCAATGGAACCGCCATTACTTCCTTCAGATGGAAAGAGTCCACATTCTCGATGGTTTTGGAATCTGTGGCCTCACATTCTGACAGGGCCAATCTCCCACAGTTAAGGCCGAGAACCTCTGGCGGGCCATCAGGAGCTATAATTCCATTCTGCTCACACCAACTAGCAATCAAGCCCTTAACACAATAGTTTGGTGTTAGATCAAGATGAGGGAGCTCTTGCTGTGTTTTTGGGCAAGTATTGTGGCCATCTCCAAACCATTTCTCGATGCAAGCGCGTTCGTAAGTTTGTCCAGATGAAATGATGACAGGGTCATACATCAGTTGTAAGGATATTGGACATCTAAACTCCTCTGGTGGAAATGAAATGTTTCCTGACTTCACTCCATTTTGCTTAACATTGAAAGAACTCAGTTTAGAGACTTGTTTCGGTAAGGTCAGGCCATTTGTCTCATAATAGAGGTTGGGAGAGCATGGACATGATCCATATGAATCGGTATCATCAGAAATATCACTTCTCAAAAGCTTAGAATATCTTCTCATTATATGATGCAAAAATGTGACAACAGTTTCTTTGTGCTTATCTTCCTCAATCTGTGCTCTCTCAATCAACTTTTTGAGGGCTCTTCTCTCATTCAGAGCTGCTTTTGAAGATGTAAAGCCAAGTTTTAAAGCAGCTTCATGGAAGATCTCAAGCTCACAGCCGTCATTCAAGTCACTGTTGGATTTTATATCACGCTGAATCAACGCAATCACATCATCTCCTACCTGTTTGTCTGACTGATCCAAAGCAAATACGGTTCTCTCCAGCTCTCCAACTATCTCCATAATCTAACATTCATGTAAAAAGATGAAAACATCAGCAATAGGGTAAAATTAAAACCAATGGGAAAAAAGGAAGACAATATGTAGAGTTAACAACATAGTTTTGAAAACTTCTCATAGGTCCGACTTTATATGAAGGTATATGAACGACGTCACAAACGATCCTGTCTAAAGAATTGGTAGTAAATAAGAGAAACCATCCACAAAGGTTAAAAAAAAGAAGAAAAGACCCTAGGCAAAATATTTTCCCAAAATGTGGTGATTCTATCAATATCAATGGATAGTCCTAGGTTCAAGTCCTTGTCATGGTCTTTGTTCAGAATGGAAAATGACAATGGAAATATGATTAGTCAGGTAGCTTACAAAGCGTAGAATTGTTATCTAAAGTAGAGCAACGTAGCTGGAAACTGCATTGGTTCTAATAGTTAAAAGGAAACAATATCAATTAAATTTCCACAACATAAAGGTTCTTCAAGTGCATATATACTATACAAAAAACAAATCTACAAGCCAGAACAAATGGCAGAAACTCTCCACTCCACCCACACACACCCCGCACCCTCCCACCCCCAAAAAATTAGTTGATGGTTCTCTATAGTATTTAAGCACTATGGAAGTTATGGACTAAAAATAATAATAATTAGCATTAAAAAAAGAACAATCGCACCAAAGGACATTCTTCTTATTATCCTTAATACAAGCCTAAAGGATAAAACTCATATCATATGCCCCTTCGTGCTTTTAAACTCTTCAAGGTTGAAGATAAAGCCATCATAAATGGTTATATGAACAAAAATTTCATGGCCATGTATTTCACAATTGCTTCTCATAAGACAGAACAAAAAAAAACTGTGCAGCATAAGAATTTAGTCGAGCCATACCATACTACTTATAATAAATAGTTAGCACTCTTGCAGTATATACAAGATAGCAGTTAAACAAAACTTACAGATTTGAATTCATTCAGATATGATCATCCATTCTTTTGATGCAATTAATTGATAGTGTGTTTATTCTAGCTCCCAGACTTGGCACATACTCATATACAAATTGACAGATTGAGTACTATATAGATTTTGTTATGAACTCTGCATCACTGATTAACATTGTGGTTAGGATCTTCATTAACTAAGTACATGATAACAATTTCCTAGCTCCACATGAAGAAAGAAATAACTTGCTTCACATAAAAATGCGGTCAAAAGTCATAACAGACTACTATGTCATTTCATTAGCTCTATACATGCTGCAAAAAAACTTGTAAATCTACATGATGTGTTTCATATATCATGTAACAACAAACATCATGACAACTATATGTTTGATTGATGCAAACATACCTGATGACCAACAGCCTGTGGAACTATTTCTTCCACGCGCTTCAGACTTTCCTGAAGAGCACATCCAGTCTTCTCAAATTTCATAAGAATGGACTCCCCTGTTATAGCCTGTAAAGTTAACAGGTTTATGATGATGAGATAAACTGCAGCGGTGCTAACTGTTCAAATAAAATGCATTCTGAAGCACTGACACATGATCAAAAATAGTGTGCAGTATTAAGATGTTGACTACTGTAACTTTGATGTATACCTATGCCTTCAATACAATATCAATTACTTGGAAAGCATAGTGGATAACCCCTGATATATTACCTGCCACTAGATTCAACTTGATGCCTCTCTCCAAGATAAATGTTGCTGGTTTAACTGTCATCAATGGGGGTAGACTTGGTAGAGTATTGCCCTAGGCAGCTAATTGTTTAGAGATCACTAGCTTAATAGAGAGCATGTACACTTGTATTGTGAATTGGTGCTGTATGAGACACCTTATTGGATATAATACTTCCTATTTTTACGTACTCTTTCCATCTACATGTTAATTTGAATGTAATGTCAGTGATACTGTATTATGTATGTTACTGCACTATAGCATACTAGGAATTTATAGAGACCAGAAGAGTCTTGGAAGCAACAAAGTTGGCTTCAAGCTTGACTTATAGTGACACTACAAATGTGGTAATATCTTCGCTTTAGTTTGTTTTTGCAAATTGTTTACTTCATCGGATTCTCAACCACCACTTTATTGCCTCTCAATCCTATGTTCAGCAAGTAGAAAATCGTGCATCTCCAACTTAGTGAGAGGAGCTCTCGCCTCATCTTTTTCAAGTTTGACGCTATTCCTCTCTCCCTAGTCCCCACTATTATGTACTTGTTTGAAAAATGACCTACGAGTTTAACACATTGCAATCATGGGCTTCCCCAAAAAAAATAATAGATGGCCTATTTGTTATTCTTTTGAGAGAATAAGAACATCAAATATTAATAAAGAGAGAAGGAAGATTTTAAGTGGCAAAATAGTAAAGATCAATAGGAGGAATGATGAAATCTTCTGTTGATCCTAACTTGAAATTATTAAAGCGGACAGCATTTTTTTAATTTGTAAAAAAAATATGAAATCAGAAAGCTTGATTTCATCAAAGAAAGCTTATGGTACATTACAGAAGAGAAACTAACCAAGTAAAGTTTGCTGCATTCTGAACAATGCTGAAGGAGTTTCTTGGCTTTGTCAAGAGCTACGTGCAACGAGCAGAGTGCTTGTATCCCAGACTTACTCCTTGGCCTACAAGCTTCTAAAACGGGAAATATCTCCAATATTCTACAAACAATAGTAGCAAGTTGCTTGCACATGCCAACATGAAACTGCATTATACAACAATCACCACATCTTAGTGTTAGGAATCTTGACCCCAAGATTAGTTTGTTTTGATGATAACAAATATTATATGTTGTGTGTATTATGTGCTAACATTTGTTTTGCAGTATCAGAGCTATATCAGCAATTATATTCAAAGAGATACTCAAGACATAGATGAGTTCAAGGCAAAATGAAGCAAAGAAGAAGATATACTTTATTGTCAAAATGTAATTTTATATTTTCTTTGCTTAGAAATTTGTACAAGCCTTGACCACTCACACACATGCACACACATAGTGTTAGAACACACTAACACATGCTTAGTGTGTTGGTTAACAATAGAAATCCCCTATGCTAGCCATTAGAGTTTATAGATATTAAGTGAGTCTTAAAACATTTCATTTACACCCCTTAGAAATTAGAATCTGGAAAAACTCAAAAGACCAAAGTTGTAGGTCTCTTCAAGAGCTTTCCAACAAATCTTAAATCACCTCATTCCGATATCGGATGAGAAAGTTATAGTCAAAATACTAAACAGAAAAATTCCAGAATCTGAGTTTACAGTGTAGTCGACTACTATGCCTTGTAGTCGACTACTAAGCGATTTTCTGACTTCACAGAGTCTGTTTAGACTCAGTGTAGTCGACTACTATGACTTGTAGTCGACTACAAAAGCAGTTTTTCCAGATTTCAGGTTTAAAATAAGTGACTGTTTATAGCCGTTTTGTGGACGTTAATTGGGTTTAAAATTATGTCATTTCAGAGGCTATAAATAGGTTTAAACATCAGAAAACAAGCACCAAGTTTTGCACTTGCAAGATCAAACATTTTGTGCATATTCACTCTCTAATTTTCCAGATTTTCATGCTAAGTGTTTAGAAAAAGAGAGTTTCTGATATTGCCTTGGTTTCAATCATTCTTAGAGATTGTATAGGCAATATTCAGAGAGTTAAAAGAATCCTAAGCCACTGCAGCACTTCACTACACATTCAAGGCTTATAGGATCAATTGTGTTCTTGCTTCAAAAAGGATTTCTCTCGGGTTTGAGAGGGTTGATCTCTTGGTTTAGAGATTGGGTGGCAATTGGCATGGTCTTGTCAATTGGTGTTGCAATTTGCATGGTCTTGCAAATTGGTCAGGTTTGCTTTTGATTTTGTAAGGTTTCAAAATCATAGTGGAAATCTCAAGCGGGATTTGCTTGGGGACTGGATGTACACCGGGTTGGTGGAACCAGTATAAAACTTTGTGTTTGTGATTGTGAATTTCTGAGATTGTCATTTTTCTTTGCAATTTATAATCTACTTTGCATATATTTTAAAAGAACACTATTCACCCCTCTTCTAGTGTTCTAGTGTATCTATTTCAGATCCTACATTTGGTATCAGAGCAAGGTGAAAGATGGCATCGTCAAATACATCATAATTCAAGGAATGTCACTCTACAAATCGTCCTCCAATGTTTGATGGCACGAACTACAACTATTGGAAGTGTAGGATGAAGATCTACCTCCAATCTCTTGGCTACGAACTTTGGAACGTCGTGGAAACAAAATATGAGAAGCCAACAACTCCCTTCGAAGAATGGGCTACTTCTCAAAGAAATAATGCAAATTTGGATTCAAAAGCAATGAATGCATTATTTTGTGTACTTGATAAGAATGAGTTCAATAGGGTGTCAACGGCCACATCTGCATACGATATTTGGCATACACTTGAGGTAACTCATGAAGGTACAAATAAAGTTAAAGAATCTAAAATATCTGTTCTTGTGCACAGGTTTGAGTCATTCAAAATGAAAGAACAAAAAGAGGAATCCACTCACATGTGCTTCATGGCACAAGAAGATGAGGTATGCAATAATGAAGAATTATTAGATGCTTTCAATGAATTATATGAAACATTTTTGAGATTAAAGGCTTCACATAATTTTCTTAAAGGTGAAAATAAAAGATTACTTGAAGAAATTTCTGATTTTAATTCTTCTACTATTTCTAATTCTCAAGTAATTGAATTGAAAGAGGAAAATAAATCCTTGCTTAAAGAAAATCATATTTTGACTAATGAGAATGTTTATCTAAAATCAGAATGCAATGATTTAAAAATCCGCATTAATGTTTTAGATAAAGATATTTCTTCTATTAAATTAAAATATGATGATATATGTTTGAATGTTAGTAAATTCAATAAAAGTAAAGAGAATTTGAATAATTTGCTCTCATTTCAAAAATCTTCAAACAATCATTTTGGCATTGGATTTGTTCCTAAGTATTTTATAAAGAATGATTATGTTTTGAAGAATAATAATAAGAATATTCATGCTAAACAAAATAAGTATATATGGATTCCTAAGAATTTGAATATTCATGATAGGAATTATTATATTTCATCTTATATTTATGAAGTTTGCAATTCAAAGAATTACACTTATGTTAACAAATGGAAACCAAATTCCAAGTGGATTTGGATTCCTAAGGGCTAATCCTAATGATATAATATAAAAGGGTACCAAAGTGCTTGATATTTTTATTAAGGTACCCAAGAAAAGAAATTTTTAATTAGAATTATGTTTATTTCTTTTTGCTAATGACAAAGGGGGAGTTATATAGAAATTTTTAATTTTAAATTTTTTACTAATGCTTTGATGCAGGGGGAGTAAAAGATTTTATTTAATGATTTCATTCAGGGGGATTAAAATTTTTATATCTTAATAACATATATTTGTCATCATCAAAAAGGGGGAGAATGTTAGGAATCTTGACCCCAAGATTAGTTTGTTTTGATGATAACAAATATTATATGTTGTGTGTATTATGTGCTAACATTTGTTTTGCAGTATCAGAGCTATATCAGTAATTATATTCAAAGAGATACTCAAGACATAGATGAGTTCAAGGTAAAATGAAGCAAAGATGAAGATATACTTTATTGTCAAAATGTAATTTTATATTTTCTTTGCTTAGAAATTTGTACAAGCCTTGACCACTCACACACATGCACACACATAGTGTTAGAACACACTAACACATGCTTAGTGTGTTGGTTAACAATAGAAATCCCCTATGTTAGCCATTAGAGTTTATAAATATTGGGTGAGTCTTAAAACATTTCATTTACACCCCTTAGAAATTAGAATCTGGAAAAACTCAAAAGACCAAAGTTGTAGGTCTCTTCAAGAGCTTTCCAACAAATCTTAAATCACCTCATTCCGATATCGGATGAGAAAGTTATAGTCAAAATACTAAACAGAAAAATTCCAGAATCTGAGTTTACAGTGTAGTCGACTAATATGCCTTGTAGTCGACTACTGATCAATTTTCTGACTTCACAGAGTCTGTTTAGACTCAGTGTAGTCGACTACTATGACTTGTAGTCGACTACAAAAGCAGTTTTTCCAGATTTCAGGTTTAAAATAAGTGACTGTTTATAGCCGTTTTGTGGACGTTAATTGGGTTTAAAATTATGTCATTTCAGAGGCTATAAATAGGTTTAAACATCAGAAAACAACAACCAAGTTTTGCACTTGCAAGATCAAACATTTTGTGCATATTCACTCTCTAATTTTCCAGATTTTCATGCTAAGTGTTTAGAAAAAGAGAGTTTCTGATATTGCCTTGGTTTCAATCATTCTTAGAGATTGTATAGGCAATATTCAGAGAGTTAAAAGAATCCTAAGCCACTGCAGCACTTCACTACACATTCAAGGCTTATAGGATCAATTGTGTTCTTGCTTCAAAAAGGATTTCTCTCGGGTTTGAGAGGGTTGATCTCTTGGTTTAGAGATTGGGTGGCAATTGGCATGGTCTTGTCAATTGGTGTTGCAATTTGCATGGTCTTGCAAATTGGTCAGGTTTGCTTTTGATTTTGTAAGGTTTCAAAATCATAGTGGAAATCTCAAGCGGGATTTGCTTGGGGACTGGATGTACACCGGGTTGGTGGAACCAGTATAAAACTTTGTGTTTGTGATTGTGAATTTCTGAGATTGCCATTTTTCTTTGCAATTTATAATCTACTTTGCATATATTTTAAAAGAACACTATTCACCCCTCTTCTAGTGTTCTAGTGTATCTATTTCAGATCCTACACTTAGAAACCAGTCCTTGAGGAAAATTTTGGATTTAAAATTCCAACCTAATGTAAAATCACGGGTAATTTGGCAAAACAATGCCTAAATTAAGAATTCAGAAATTACCACTGTGAAATAACTAGGTCTAAATAAAATATCCCTAGAGATTACGATCTTCCAGATTTAATATAGTCATGCCAATCACAAGTATGAGATTTCAAAGCCATCCCTACCATTTAAAACGAGGGTAAATAGCATTTATCCCTCTCAATATTTTTTTTATTAGAATATACAGTATTGGATATATAACATACAACAAGTCAAATCAAGTATGAGATTTCGAAGACATCCCAACATTTAGGCCATCTCCAACCGGCCACTAAAAAGACAAAATCTCTAAATTTGGAGAGTGGAACCTCTCCAACCACTCTCTAAATTTGGAGATCTCCAAATTTGACCCTCCAAATTTGGAGGGTGAAGAGAAAATTTGGAGTCTCTCTCCAATATACTATTCATGTTTTATTAATTACAACTTTGCCACTTTTAATTATTTAATTTCTTAAAAATTACCACTTTGTCATCATTCTTAGTAATTTAAATTAGATGTTTAATTTCAAATAAATATAGTTAAAATTTATTAATCTAATATTTGAAATCATTATATATTTGGAAATGTCTCGTTGAGATCTTTAAAATAAAACTAATATTAATTTATTTTAGTATTATTATGTTGTATTGCATTATTAATATTAGGTTCATTTTAAAGCTCTCATCGACACCTTTATAATGTTATAATTTTTTTTCCAAATAAATTATTAAAAATCTCATCGACACCTTTATAATGTTATAATTTTTTTTCCAAATAAATTATTAAAAATAAAATTATTAATGTAAACTATATCCAACATTATTAATTTATATAAATTATTAAAAATAAAATTATTAATGTAAACTATATCCAACATTATTAATTTATATGGTTTTTTTGATAAAAAAATAAAAAGAAAAACATTTGAAGAGTGTGGGTTGGAGCAACTCTCCAAATCCACCCTCCAAATTGGAATATTCCTAGAATATTCCAATTTGGAGGGTGAAATTTGGAGGGCATGGTTGGAGATGCTCCAAGAATTGCAACAACAATTGGGGAAAAAAGGAAAATAATGCATTCAATCTAATTCTCAAATACGCGTGCAATAAAATGAATACCTTTGCATCACAAACTGCAAACAATTTCTCCTCAACCTCGGCAGCATCCATTTTATCAAATTTATTCATCTGATAGCAAAATATCAACATGATCCCTATCGGTTCACAATTAACCAAAAATCAAGGGCAAAAAATATTTTAATGAAATCATCGGAAAATTTTACCCTCAGAGGAAGAGATTGTACCAAGGGGGTTTCATCAAAAAGGGATCATCAAGAGATGAACCGGGACCGAGCGACATTGCGAGAGCTTCATCTCCTCCCTCACAAAAAAAATTAGGGTTTTCTAAATAAAAAATCGAGGAAGAAGAAATGAAGCTATTTTTGAGGAGCAGAGGAGGGAGAGAATATAAAGAGGAGTGAGAGAGGGAATAAAGGGCGCGACAGAGATTCAGACACGTGATTATTTGTACGAATGATTAAATTAAGTAAAAGGTTTTTGCACATATACTCCTCTCAATTTTTCCATATTTACAAACCGAACCCTCCAATTCTCTCACATTGATATTTTCCACCCATTCCCTTCACAATAAAATTGCAAACCTAATGAAAATTATTGGAATTTTTGATGTTACCTTGTTTAAAAATCACTATTGTGGAGTTGGAGCAGAAGAAAGAAAAAACAAATTTAGAGCGGTAGAAATTTTCAAATATCAAGATTTGAGGGTAATTTTATAAATATCAAAATTTGAGGGTAATTTTGCAAATATAGAAAATTATAGGTCTATATTTACAAAAAAACTCATAAAGTAAAGGGTTCATGAACCATAAGACTCCAAGTATTTTTTTTTTTTAAATTAGATCTGTAAATGTTTTTCATAAGTTGTGTCCAAAAAGAGCTAATAAAGGGTTCTTATCGGAGTTCTTTACTTAAGCATGGTCAACTCTAAATCATGTAGAGTAAACTACAATAATTAACTTGGAACGCGGCCTCAGTCAATCTTTATTTTCCAACTCTTGTGTCTTTCTTTCTTTTTATTTTATCCAAATGTCGCCAACCACAAAAACCCCAAAAAAATAGATCTGAGGAGGAAAAACAGGGGAAGAGAGAGTAATTGGTGCGAGGAGTCTACACAACTCATTTAGAAGGGGTCAAAATTGTCCATTAAAATAAAATTCCCTAACATCTAATATAAAACTAATAACATTAAGCATAAATGTAATCTGGGGTCTTTTTTAAGGAAGTTAAAAGGATTTAGGAATCTAATCTAGAAATTATGTATTTTAGGGTCAAATATGGAGATGAACGAGATTTGGAGGTCTTCTATCGAAAAACCACAAAGTAATTTTTCACATAAAAAACCTTATACAATTTATTTTATATATAATGTTGGGCTAAATTACCACATTGGTATTAAAAGTAGTACCCAATGACCATATTCGTAAACTTATCTCCCGCGACAACAATACATTTAAACTTGCACGATGAGACAAATAGGCCAAAAATGAAAATTTTCAGTCAACTTTTTTGGCGATCACTCAAGTAATCTGTCACATGATGCTTATGTGGCATATTTATGATAACATGGTCGTTGTAGTTAGCCTAATTTAAACCATTAAAGAGGTATATTTTTAAATTAGTGTAAAATAAAATATGGGTTTTTTTTTAATTTGAGAGCTTCTTCTCTTTCTTTTATCAAATTAGGGTTCTACATTACTTGAGAACATGGATTCTTTGAAGCTCAAGCAATGAAGAACAACCAATTTGAAGGAAGAAGAAGGAGTCCCTAATTTGAAAAAAAAATCCATCTTTTTTTACCCTAATTTAAAAATCACTCCTTCTAATGATTTGAATTAGGCTAGTTACAACTACCATGTTATTATAAATATATCATATAAGCAGCATGTGACCGATTGCTTGAGTGATCACTAGAAAATTTAGCCAAAAATTTTATTTTTAGGCTTATTTGTCTCATCATACAACTTTAAATGCCTTGTTGTAACTAGGGATGATTTTAATATCTTGTTGATCATAGGGTACTTTTTTTAATGCCAATCTAATAATCTATTCTGTAAGGTTGGGAATTGCTATTTTGTTCTTTTGTTTTTTTTTTTAAGATCCCACATTAAATACTCATTAAAGGAGGGGGGGGGGAATAAGAAGGAAAATTATGGTGGCCAAAAGATATGTGCTAGGTTCTACTTGATAAATTGTATAAAATTAAGTTAAGAGCACAATTTTAAGTTAACCTAATTCTATTTTGAGAGTAGTAAAAACACCTAAAATTGCTACTATTTTTATCCATCTCGTTCATAATTTGAATTAAAACAAGGCCGGTATTGGGGAGTTTGTCAAGCAGCCCTAAAATTTGCAAAAAAAAACTTATATGTATTAATATAAGATCCCTCTGTCCAAGCAGTGTCAAATCCACATGGTTGGTGTGAACAACGGCGTGCGAACACCGCGAGACACCAAAGGGTGTCTCGCCGGCACGGCGCGCGGACACCGCTAGACACCAAAGGTATCTCGCCGGCGCGCGAGACACCTTGAGGTGTCTCGGCACCCGAGAAAACCTCAGGGTGTCTTAAAGCGGGTTTTCCAGATCGGTGCGGATCTTTTCCAGATTGTTTTTTGGGCCCTGGTTTCTTGATATAAATAGGAACTTCATTCCTATGATTTTATAGGTGAAAAAGGGTGTTTTGCCGGCTGCAAAAGATAGAGTTTTTCAAATCTAAAAAGGTGAGATCTTGAGGAGAGAAAAGAGAGAGAACTTGGAGCGATTGTACAAGAAATAGGTCATCTTCTCTAGGGTAAAATTGAAGCATCATCTCTTTGGGATGAGCTTGCTAGTTGTGTAATTCGTCAGTGTTCTTCATCATAGTGGAATCTCCCTTCACCCCTCCCGTGGACGTAGGCAAGTTTGCCAAACCACGTAAATCTCGTGTCTTCTTTATTATTTTGCTGTGTATTGTCTATTGCTTGTGTTGGTTGGTTTCCTCGATATTCAGATCTAGATCTGATATTGAGAAGAGTGTATATCTCACCTCACTGAGATATTTTACTTCTATTCTTGTTTCATATCAAAATAGGAACATCGAGGTTGGCTTGAGTTTTGTGAAAAATAAAAGTCAGGGCTTTCTCTCGAAGTGATTTGCTTCCGCGAAGAGTGGGCATGTCGGCCCCCAACAATTAGTATCAGAGCCCTTGTTCAAATTAGGGGTGGTAGAGCTTCCGATTTGAGGTGGTGCTTGGTTATTGTGTGGTGCACACAATGTGTTTGTTGAAATTCCTGAGAGAAACGGATTTACTAAAACAAGCGGAGAATGACGTCTACCAGTAAAACAGTTAAAGTTGGAAAGTATGAGATTGAAGAGTTTAATGGGAAGAATGATTTTTCTTATTAGAGGATGCAGATGAAAAATTCATTGATTTCGTAGAAATTGCACAAGGCTTTGGTAGGAAGAGAAAAGAAGCACAAAGATATGTCTGATAAGGATTGGGAAGAGTTAGATCTCAGAGCACGAGCATCGATTATCCTATGCCTTGAGAGAGATGTAGCTTTCTTGGTGGATGGAGAGGCAACAACGGTGGGTGTGTGGTCAAAGTTAGAGAGTACCTTCATGACGAAGAGTCTAACAAATCGGATCTACCTGAAATCCAAATTGTATACTTGCAAGATGGAGGAAGGCTCATCAATCCGGGAGTATATCAACAAGTTCGATAGGATCATATCAGATTTGAAGGATATTGATGTGAAAGTAGAAGATGAGGATCAAACACTTCTGCTACTTCTTTTTTGACCAAAGTCTTATAAGGACCTAGTATAAACATTGATACTTGTAGATGACAATTTGAAGTTGGATGAGACTAGAACGTCTTTTCTAGAAGATGATCTTTGAAAAATTAAAACTAGTGACATGGCTACTAGTGGTAACAAGGAGTAAGCACAGGGATTGTTTGTAAGAGGAAGGAGCAATGAGCAAGGAAATGGCAAAGGAGGAAAGGCTAGATCGAAATCAAGACCTCTTGCAGGAAGATCGTGTTTCAAATGCGGTGAGCTTAGGCATTTCAAAGTTGACTATCCTAATAAGAGAGTAGGTGGGAAGAAGAACAACAAGAAAAACGAGAGAAGAGAATGCAAGGAAGAGGTGAACTATGTCTCGGAGGAAGGGAGCGAAAAAGAATGCTATTCCGTTACGTGCGGTGAAGATATCTCTGGTAAGTGGATTCTTGATTTGGGTTGTTCTTACCATATGTATCTAAATAGGAAATGGTTTACTGTCTATAGAAGCATTGATGGTGGAACCGTATTGATGGAGAATAATAATGCTTGTAAAATACTGGGGCTTAGTGATATCAAAATTAAGATGCATGATGAAGTGGTCAGAACCCTGACGAATATGAGGCATGTCCCCGACTTATGGAAGAATCTTATCTCAGTTGGTACTTTAGACTCCGGTGGTTGCAAAATAGTAACATAGAACGGAGTAAAGAAGGTTGTTTGAGGTTCCTTGGTAGTGATGAAGGGCATTCATCATGGTAACCTATATACTCTCTTAGGTACGATAGTGACAGGAGATGCAGCAGTTAGAACTGATGGAAGTGGTAGAGACCCATGTAAGCACACTCGGTTATGGTATAGGCGGCTTAGGCACACGTCAGAAAATGGTCTAGATCTGCTTGGTAAGGAAGAATTGCTGAAGAATATGAAAAAACCTTACATGGATTTCTGCGAGGATTGTGTGTACGGAAAGAGCACAGTGTTCAGTTCCTGAAAAGCAAGCACAAGAGCAGAGGTATATTAGACTATGTGCATACAGATGTTTGGGGTTCAGCTCTAACAACTTTCAAGGGTGATTCCAGGTATTTTGTCTCATTTATAGATGATTATTCTAGATATGCTTGGCTTTATTTTCTTAAGCATAAGAATGAGGTATTCAAGACATTCAAGAAGTGGAAAGCAATGGTTGAGAACAAAACAGCCAGGAAATTAAAGACATTGAGATTTGATAATGGTACAGAGTATACGGATGGTGCTTTCAATAAATTCTGTGATCAGGAGGGTATTACTCGACACTGGATAGTCAGGTCTACACCACAGCAGAATGGAGTCGCAGAGAGACTGAACCGTACGCTACGGGAGAAAGCAATGAGTATGCAATCATATGTTGGTTTGGGCAAAGAATGGTGGGCAGAAGCAGTTGTTACAGCTTGTTACATAGTGAATTGTTCTCCACATTCGACATTGGATGGTGATGTACCCTATCGGGTATGGTCAGGGGAGCATGCAAATTATGATAGGCTTAGAATTTTTGGATGTACAGCCTACTACCACGTCAACGAGGAAAAGCTTGGCGCGAGAACTAAGAAGACAATATTATTGAGG